ACACTAATTTGTGTAACGCCAGTCCCAACAATTCCATAGAAGCATTACAAGAACACTAACATGCAGAATGCTGTTGCCAAGTTATCAAGAGGCATAGCTTCAGTTTTGGGTTAGAAAATATAATTAAAAAAAAAAAGAGACCCCAGTGCCATGTGTGACTTTGGCATATTAGGAACATAAAAGCCTCCAGAACAACACAATACTGTGCACTTCATGTAGGAGTCTACTGTTAACTTAATGGAGAATTAGAATAAAAGATAAGCAGTTTTAAATTGTAATTTATCTACAGCAAAGGGTAGGGACTGAAGTGTTGATAGGGAAATTAAATTGATTTTCTAAGCTATTTTGATAACTACTCCAAAACTTACCCTACAGTACATTCAAACAATGGCATGAATACAGCCTCCTTAAGGCAAAAGTCACACTTCAGCAACACCATATTTCAAGTAATTTTTTATACTGGGACACTCAGAGCTTCCTACTACTTATTTCTGTGCAATTACTGACTTTGAAAACAAAATTCAGTTGTTCAGTGAAATCTATTTGTCAGCATTTTCTCTCAACTACTTATATGCCCTACTAAAATACTGCTAAATGCTTCCAACACCACCACCTCATGGTAGAAAAGACCATTTTGAGTGCATGATCTCTTCTAGAAGAGGTTGAGAACTGTTTACAGCATCAGCAACTGCAAAGTAAAAGCACAAACCCCACTATTTAAGTAGAGGGGAACAAGTGTAAAACTAACCTGACACAATGCACCCACAAGAACAGCTTACTCATTCTCCATATTCTTCAGCTGCCTTCCAAAGAAGGGACATAGAAGTTATCATAATCCCAATTATACCACGTACAACGTAACAGAAGTCCCTGGGATTTGTTGTTACCACCTCAGCACTTGCAACAGAAATTCAATGTCATGACACTCTCCTGAAATCCAGACACCACCATGGCTTCACTTACATCCACGATCTGTCACCCTGTAGGACCCGTGGAAGAGTCCAACACAAGACTTTCAGCACCCCAGTCTAGCTAGTTTTGTTCAGTTATCACTACCTCATCCCATCTTTCAACTCCATAGAGGATGAGGATAAAGTGTATTACTTTGTTGTTTCTAGAAGCTATTATTTAAGTGTAAGTTGAACCTCTGATCAGCCTGGGGCAAAACTGCGGCAGAGCTAACAGATCTTGCAGGCTTTTGCTTATTTGTTTTAATGTACATACTATTAGCATTTTGCTTTCTTCAAACTACAGCCTTTGATTACTAGCCTGAATGTTTAGACAGATTGTGTTGTCCTAATTGTTAGTAGGAGAGTCTCCTGCAGAATTTTAAATTCTAGGAAGTTTTACATGCACCACGATTCACCAGCACCAAGTAACCAAAGGTGAAAGCCCCAGCAACACAACTGGGAAAATAACCAGACAGGCATCCTACCACAGTCAAGAAATTGGGCCAATTTGATCACTGGTTACAGCAGCAAATCTTCAGAAGTTTAAAAAGAGTAAAACGCATAATAACCTAATTTTAGGATTACATTTCGGTGTTATTTTTGACCTGCATGTCGTCACAAGCTCCACAACAGTTTTCTTACTATACTAAGAGTTCAAAATAAACATGTAAACACTGCTCAAACAACTTTTCTTCGAAATGAAGGTAACTAAAAGACATGCTGAAATTATCAGCTGATGTTTCAAGACAAACTCAAGGCAGTAGCTATCTACTTACAGCCTGCAGAACTCAGACCCCAGTTTTCATTACTCTCTAGTCTTTATTCCACTGATAGTCTTGTAAAACCCTGATAAAGCACTTAAATATCCAAAACTCAAATGTAAGATTTGATACGTAAAGGGAAAAAAATATTCTGGCCTACAGAATTTAACAAGACTTCAGCCATACCAAATCCTGTCACTTAAAGGAATTCATTCCAATAGGGAACTGCCCTTAACGCTGATAGGAAGAGGGACACCATACAGGCAGGTGGAGCATTTGCTCAAACAACAAGATCTAAGTCACCTTTTTTGTTGTATTGCCTGCTGTGGTCTGTATTCCAGAACTGTGGAAAAGCCCCATTTAAGTAAATGGCAATAAGAGGACAGTTTGAAAGTATATTCCACATGATTATAGAAGAATAATCTCCAGATTTCTTCCTAGGTTCAACTAGTTACCCAGGACAGGTGCTACAATGTAACAACTGGCCCTAAAGTAAGCAAAACCTCAGAAAATAGCAGCTTCAAGCCAACCCAAGTGTTACTCAAGGAAAAATAACAAGCTTGAATCAACCAGAAAGTTTTCCTACAATTTGTTTCCAGACAGCTGTATCTTATATGTTGGAAAAGTAAACATGACTAATCACATGCTGTATAATACTCAGTTGTGTTGACACAAATAGAAATGGCAGACTGTCCCAGCCCCCCATCCAGACCCCACCAACGTATCAACACACAGCATCAAAGGCTTACAAATTGAGATCAGCCATTTCACATTCAGTGTTTTCACCTGTAAAACTTATCACTTCACAGAAATAAGGAAATTAAAACAAGAGTAGAATTTTCAAAATACATCTGTATCCCCTTCACTGACCAGACATTTCAAAAAGAGCTCTATATCCTGGTTATTTTGTCCAGGTCATATTAACTATAAGGGAAAAAAAGCCAAAACCAAACCACAAACAAACCACCAAACACACACACCCCCTAATTTGTAAGGTACTCTGTGTCATCTAAACTTTTAGGTACCCATTCTTCTCGTATGCACATATTTTTGAAACATCTAGTCATATGCTGTGAGTCACAAGTCAGGAGTCCGGAAACCCAAAACCTATTTTTCTCTTTGTAAAGAGTTACCTGCAGCAGCAGCTTGTTTGGACTTTCCCTAATCAAGGCATTTCTCATCTTCATTAGCTCTGCCTGTTGCAGTTGGGATTACCTACAGAGTGTAAAGCATCCCTCCTTACCTGTAAGGATCTTTCACTAGCTTTCCAGGTGCTGACTACACTAACACCCCCCCTAATCTCAACCATGTACAAAAGAGCCAGGCAGGAAGGAAGGTGGAGACAGTGGGCATGCAATGGAGCATGCACGAGCTCAACTTATCCTTGCAGTATTGTCTTACTAACACATACATGTAGGACATTCAATACTGTTATCTGTTTTACATTACATGACATTTCTATAAAATGAGAACAACTTTAAAAAGGAAACAGTTAATATTTGGTTCAGGAAAAGTTCAGTCTAAACCAAGTACTTTTATTGCACCAAGTTTCATTTAAGCCATTAGACATCAACACTGAAGAAGAGCATGCTTTCAGAGCCCTCCAAAACAACAGAAGGAAAACATCCCCTTTTTCCTCAAATTAAGGTCTCCAAAATGTAGAGTGCTGATACTCTTGACTCCCAGACATGTAAAAACACTTTAACACTACAGAGAAACTTGATAAGAAGTTAGAAACATGAGAAAATCTGCTTCAGTTGACCTTTCATATTTACATCACATGGTTTCATACTTTCAGTCTCCACAAACTATTGAAAGCTGCGTGCAACAATCTAAACTATTTGAACAGTAGATCTTATGTCTATCAAGTCTTTGAGAAAAGCGAAAAGTGACCTGCTAGGCTAAATAAGAGGTGCTAAGCTTTGACCAAGTTAATAAAACAGAATGTAAACTTCTCTCGGGTACCCTCTGATGTTTTGTTAAACATCTGGTTTTCCTACTTCACTTCCTGTTCTCTCTGTCTCCCTCCCCCACCAGACAGGAAATCGTCTTGACAACAAATGAATCAGCTAGAAGGGGAGCTAAGCAGCCATCAGCTGATTCTTCATTGTTTACAGTCAGACACTTCAAAAAGTCTTGCTACTGTTTTCTTCCTAAGTGACCACAGTAGTTCTAACTTCATTTCGTTAAAATAAACATTTAGACACAACAGAACAAGCCTTTTGAACAGCTTAGTAATGATTTTAATCTTGAGATAGAAAAATCAAACTAAAACACTTTCCCCAAAGTAACCAAAATCATAACAACACATATTGTAATTGTCAAGCCATGGGATCTACCAACCTTTTATTTCTAGGTTCATCTTTTTAAAAAAGCCAGCCACAGAGAAAAAGCTCTAAATAAAATGCCAAACAGCAACACAAATGCAGTTGCTCTTTAGAAGCCATCTGGAAAAGCAACAGTATTGTTCATGGTCTATAGCACGTTACAAGAAGATAGAGGCTGCTATTGCAATGCCAACTTCACATTAGTATTACTGCATTTTATTTCTAAACTCCTCTTCCCTCAAGAAAACCTAACTCCCATAAACACACAGATTGTGAGAACTATTTCAGGTTTTAAATTAGCATTCAACAGTTTCTACAGGAACTGACCTGTTTTAGGACTGTTACAGGATTTATATTTTATCAGTTAGGTGTGTGTAACAAAGTTTAAATGTTCAAAACACCAAATATTAGCCTGAATACTTTTGGGCTTCCTGTCTCACATTCTAAAAAAGAACTTAAAAGCTCAGATTAGTATGACGTTTGAGATAGCATGCAAGCCACTCAGAGTAAACAAAAAAGAAAACAGAACTATTGACAACCAGCTCCATAGTGAAAGATTACACCACCACAATTAGTCCAACTATACAGCTCAAAGAGTTCAAGTGTGCCTCTTACCACAATTGCATGCGGAGAATGCACTAAGGCCTTAAGTTCATTCAGGTCGTTCTCAGCCTGCAGAAATCGGCATAAGAAAACAAAACAAAAAAACAAATAAAAAAGTATATGAGGAGAGTGGATTTTGAATTCGCTCACAGATACTATAAATTTAAACAGTGGTTAATACAGTCCTATAAGCCCTACGTTACCTTATCCCATTCTCCTTCCATGACATGATTGCGGAATTTGGTAGCAGAAGGATGTTCTAAACGACATCCTGACTCTTGCATGAGAAGATCAACAGTCTGGCTGCAGGAGAGATACAGTGTAAAAAAACCCGACCAGTTTTACCCTCGCAAATACACCGCCTGCTATGATAACAGTTAACCATATTTATAAGTAACTTTAATAAAGTAAGAATACTATGACCAGGTTCAGATGCTTGTCCACAAAGGCTATCTCAGTCACCTGAGACATGTACACAGCTACCTATACCTAAAGCAAGTGGTCAATGAGCTCGAAAGCTTCACTGAAGTACCATAAAGTATGTGACTTACCAGCCACCACAAACAGCCATCCCTGCACAGAAGATAAACTTCATGAAGGAAGACACAGACCCAAAGCTGTTAGCTACTGACTACTATCCCCTTCCCCCCCCACACCCCCCTCAGAACAGAGCGCGCTACATCTGCAACAGGCCTAACTTTCTTCTTCATCACATATTAAAAGACTGGCTCCTTAAAATAAAATAAACAAACTCGTGAACCTGTAGCCCTCCCCCTTTTACACTAAAAATAGCTTATTTACTGTGGTGTCGTCTACGAACAGTCACGAGTTGTCTGCTGCTGTAAACTTGCCTCTTGTGTCAGAGGCAATTTATTTTGTGTGCTAAGTTCTTTATAATCGACCCATTCCACAGTGTTTTGAAGAGTTTTTTAGTGGTAGCTACGTGAAGACGTTACAGGACTTCTCTAGATTCCTTCCAAAATCATGACGTGCTGGCTTTAGCTTTACTCACTCAGCGAATGCTGTGATTGAATTCTTAGACTTCCCCTACTCCACTGGGTAATTATTCTCCCTATTCTGATTTTGAGAAAGGGCCAACAAACGCGTTTCTAGCCTACAGATAAGATTATTATCAAAAACATGTGTCCAGCACGAATTTGCAGAGGCTTTCACCATCTACAGGGACGAAGGCTTTCAAGAGCAAAGCCAAACAGCCTATTTAAGCAGCCGTTCAGCCTGTGCTCCCTTCCCCAGAGCTGGCAAGCCGAATCTTGGGAGCCTATCTGCAAAAAGCCTTCCCCCCCGCCCAGCTGCGGGCTCCATTATGTTCACCAGATAACTTCTCCCCCGCTAACACATTTGTATTGATCTACCCTTATCGGTGTGCAACTCGACTTCCATATTGCCAATGCTGGCAGAGGAAGTTCCCGGCCTGTCCCTTCGCAGACGCCGAGCTGACCCGGCACAGGCTTGGAAAACACATCTCCGGCTCCATTATTATTTTTTTTTTTTTGCGAGCGGGCCTGCCCCACTGCTTTGCCTCTCAC